CGGGCAGCTTCCAGCTCCAAAGCCCTTTGGGCTTCCATCTCAGAAGCTTTGCGGGCAGCTTCCAACTCCAAAGCTTTGCTGGCTTCCATCTCTGAAGCTTTGCGGGCAGCTTCCAAGTCCAAAGCTCTTTGGGCTTCCATCTTGGCCTCACACATTTCAGCTTCGTTCTTGGAAGCTTTGTGAGCAGCGTCCACCATCACAGCTGCTGTCTCCACGTCAGCCTCTGAAAGCTTTTTGTCAGCTTTCCTTGCATCAGCCTTCATGGCTGACACAATGCTGTTTGCGACCTCCAAGACCTCTGAGCCTTTCTTGGCAGCAGCCTCGATCTCAGCAATCCTTGCCGCAGCAGCTTTCTCACACGCCTCTAGCTCCCTTTTCCATGACTTCTCCCTCTCTTGCGCAAGCTTCAGCTCATACAAAGCTTCTAGTTGTTCCAGCTCCTTTTGCAATTGATTTCCTTCCACGGGGCGGAAAGAAATCGGAGGATTGCCGATCAGATTTCAACAGGCACTGGACTCTAGGCTTGATTGCTAATGTGGGCAAGGTGCGCATTGCCACCTTCTCTGGTGTCAGCTCGGTGCCGAGGCCTGTGAACAAACAGTGTATAACTGAAAAGCTTCCCTTGAAGAAGAGACCATGAATGCCTGCTTCAGGAGCAGGAGGAGCAGCAGCAGGAGTGTGGATTGTTGAGCCTACCGTACTTGACTGATCAACATGATCTATCGTACACAAATTGCATGAAAACAACTTGGGACCATCAACAGTGTGTTTAAAGGAATTCAGTCAGTCACACTTGCAAAACTATTCAGACCCACCTCCGGAGCCTTTTGAAGACGCAGCTCGGCCACTCTCCTTGGCTAGCTGCTTATAAGAATCATTCTGTGATAATTCTTGTAACCTTTTATCAACTCCAGGATCTGAGCTACAAACCCCCTCAGACTCTGAGTCCGACAAGTCAGATCCCGAGGAGGATGAGGAGCTGCTCTGGGGATCTGCAAAAAGGAGCTGAAAAGAACTCGTACTAAATGACACTGCTCGCCTTGACTGTTGGTTGGGACTTTGAGCCCTGCATACTTGTAGATGGCACGGATCTGTTCACATCGTGGCACATGTGGGCGCCTGGCCCGGCAAAGAATAAATGATTCCACACTGCAATGCTGTTTGCGAGTTTCCACAACAAATGCTGCTTCTTGCAAATGAGTAGCTTTGCAACTCGAGAAAATGCTGATACTAACTTTCTCAAAAGCTTTGCGTGGAGCTTTACGCGGTTTCCTGGCTGCAGCAAAAACCGAAGTGATCGAAAAAACACGTGGCTTAATTGTGTTAATTGATCGTGGCCATCAAGCCGAGTGTCCATTGACCTCCTCCCCACGTGGGCAACACATGCGGAAGAACATTTCAACGGCGTGTTCCAAGGAAGACAATGATGGTCTCATTCCAAGGTGTTTCAGAGTCAGACCCAGGGCGTGCTTGTTCTGCTTGATCACACCTGAAAGGCTTGCAATTGGCTCGACTAGTCATGGTATGGCACTAACGTGGATACTATGCTACAGTAATTCTATAATGTCAACTGTTTACAGGCGAAGGTCCACGGGTGATCTTGGTGGTCTTCTTCTCCTTCTGGATTCCCATTGTGCACAAACACTGGTTCAGACCAGCAAGCTTCAGGTCAGGCCGGCTATTCCAGCTGGCCGCTAGGTGAGAAGCCTGCTCAAAGGTGGCCATTGTCCAAGGATTGGCGTAAACACGGCTTGGGCAGGAACTGCATCATCAAAGGATGCAACAGCATGACATTGGATCTTCAGAACCATGCCATCATGCCGGGGCAAAACTCACAGAAAACATCTAACACAGGGGCACTTGGCATCAAAGATCCTCTGCAAATCAAGCATGCGCATGTAAAAAACACAAAAGTGTAAAGAGGTGGCCTTTCTGAAAAAGATCTTGAGAAACCCAGCTCTGGTCACAGGCATCCACTTCAGTCCTGCTAGGGGTTGGTTCATGGGTGCAATACAAAATCAGCAAAAAATAAACTTCTCTGAAAGCACACATTGCTGAGTCCTTGGAACATAATCTCCGAGGACAGGAGAAAACGACCCACGTGCCTTGAACCCCTCCAAGGCTGCAAAAGCGGCTTGCGCGAGCCATTCTGCACACTCGATGATAAAAACTGTCAAAACATCACCAAACCCTCTGAAAAATGACTGAACTGTTGATTCCACAAAAAGTGCTCGAATTGGGCCCTCACACCAAAAAGTGCACGTTTCCCACAAATGTGATCGATTTCCAAGTTTGTGCACGAACAAAGATATCAGGTAGCAGACCACCAAGTGGACACATTAATGTGTACCAAAGGGGTGTCCAGGTGTGTTTCAGTCGAGCGGGGGGGAGTGTTTTTGTGTCCTTTGGCGATCATTCTCAGAGAGCCAGACCATCGACGTACTGAAAGCCGATGGGGTAAATGATGTGTGTGTGTAACGTTTAGCACGATGTGAGGTTGATATGACGTTCATACATGGATGGTCTGGGATTCGTCAACAGCTCTGGGCAAAGCTTACGCACAACTTGGAGGCACCAGGAACCGCACGGAACCTGTTGAGGATCAAATCAACTTGGGTCGTTGACACAAAAGGCCTCGGCGATTCCGATTCCGGTCAATAGATTCCATATGATTCCATCCATTGGTCCATGGGTTTTCTGATTTCGTGAAATCACCCATTGCCCATGTGGTGGCCCATTTCCATTCCCCAAGCCCAAAAGAAACACAGCTGTCATCACTCGCTGGCTCTATGTTCCCAGCAAAGAGAGGCATCAATGAACAAAGCAGAAAGATGCAGAAAGGGCAACAAGAAACAATGAAAGAACAGAGGGAAGGACAGAAGAAAAGGAAGACCAGAAGACAAAGTCTACAAGATTCCACGGGCCGCGGCGAACGGTCCGTGTTGTGGTCCTGCGTGGTCCTGGTCTCCGAAACAACCGAAACGAACACCATTGGAGGGGAGGCGCGAACACACACCCGCCTCCAGCACCACCAAATCTGCATGCAAACTGCCCGCCACGAAATCTACTTTTTCAATCTTTTTGGTCAATTTATGTGACAGAACCACGCCAGAGTAGTAGCCGTGTTCAAGGCATCTTTGGGGAGTCCGGTGCAGGTGCGTCCGAACCAAACAAAACCACGTTGCGCCTGCCTGCAAGGCCTGCCGTGCCTGCCGTTGCCAAAGAAGATGGATGAAAATCTTGGGCCCACCCATAGCATCCCAAAAATAAGCATCCAGTTGCTTGTATGTCATTTCTTTGCCCGTCTAAGTCCTGTCGGCCGTCGGCCGGTGAAGCTCCGACATCAGCCTGCTGTGACGACTGACCAGCTCCGCTAGCGAACATGCTGAGGTAAAGGCGGCGAAGCACACGAGGAGGTGCCGGGCACGGGCAGTGCGGGCGCTCGAGGAAGCCGAGAAGGGCGAGGAGTTGGAAGAGTTGGAAGAGTTGCCTGGTTTTGCGGATCAGTTGATTTTCTGGTATTTTCCCGCACTGCTGAAATCCTCCAAACCTGGGCAATATGATTTCTTTTGTCGAGGTTCCTCAAGCCACTCATAGCAACTCCAAGGTTGGATGAGGTGGAATTCGCCTCTTGTCTCCCTGCGGCTGGGAGGGGTCCCACATCGCGATCCATCCCCAAAAAGGCACCAACCGGTCATTCATTCCAACGTTTGGGCCTGAGAATTTCTCCAGTTCAAACGGGAAAGGGAGAAGCTTGTGGAAGTTGTTTGAAATCACCATTGGCCTGAAATTGCCCAGACACTCCATGCTTGGCATATAAAAGAAGTACTGTAAGTTGTAACCTTTAATTTCACATTGGGGTGATTGTAAAGGCGTCAATGTAGGTAAAGATTTCATATCACCAAATGTTTGGGTGGTGAAAGCCACATCGTTCTCATGGGAACGTCCCATGATCAAAAGCGCGTTCGCTCCCTCGCTCGCGAGAAAACTGCCCAAGTTTGGGGAGCAAGAGAGAGGGGATGACTATTGGGCCTTCTCCGTAGGGCTGAGGGCACTTTGTGTTCTCAAACTCCGGCCCTGATCTGTACATCATCATCAGCAGCAGCAACTTTCTGACCTATGCAGTATCATTACTGGAGTCTCATCAAAAGTAGAAGTCATCCGGCACCGCAGATGACCCGCCCCAGAGGGAAAAGGATGGTTCACAAGAAACACACATGCAGTCAAGGAAGCTAAATTTAAAGTGTCAGGCTCGGAGCTCAGGTAAAAGTATCAAACTTGGACAGAAGTTTGGAAGATTAGTACTTGCTCACGCAGTCTCTTCCAAGCAACCCCATCTAGCTGTTTCCGAAGGGGGTACCAGATGTTTTTTTGAGATGCCAGCTGATAACACCACAGAAGGACCTATAGGTTGCGGAGTTACTTTCAGTGAGTCCTCTTGTTCCAGGTTGCATAGGGACACTAAATGGTTTGACGTTCTCAGGGCAGATACCTTCTTCCGCTCCTTGAGACCTTCTGCAAAGCAGAAGGCCCTCGGAGCGGCTCGATGAGGAGCGGATGAATGAGCGCATCGATGCGCATCAGGTGGGATCTTTGGACATGAAGGACCGAATGAACATAAATCATGCATATCCGACTAAGTAGCAGACACTCACCACTGGTCCTTTCATTTCGTGTGTTTTTCTTTCTCCATGGGTGCAATGGCGGTCAGCTAGCAGTGTGGCTGGCCGCTTGCATGTGAGCCATGTCATCCAGAAGCAGTGTGCACAGTGTGCCAAGTGCGCTCAGCGACGAGAGCAGTGAAGAGACCAGCGAGGATGACGAAACCCGGCATTGGCCTTTTTTTGCGACCATCAGTGGGCCAGGTTGGAACAAAGGTACTGGACGCCATCTCCCTGGCTTGGCATTCTAGGAGGTGGTTTCGGATTTGTGTGTTTTCAAGCTTTACTTGGGAGGATTTTTCACTAACCGACTTGTCTTTTGAGCTCGATCCATGAGCTGAAACCACCGCTTGCAGCACAAGCAGCATGGAGACATTGAAGACCATATGGGTGTGCATGTTAAAAGGGAGACCCACAACCGATGGGTAGACTATGGTAGACTGGTCGGTTTCCCAAACCCTCCAACAATTTGGACGTTGCAGGAGGTCGGCCTCTCTATTTTGAGCTACACACCCATCCCATGTCCTCAGGTCCTCCCTTTGTCCATCGACACGGACTCGTCCCGGGGCTCCAGTGGCCAGGTCCAGGCTATTGGAATTAACGCGGAGACGGGAGAGAGCTGGTTCTCGTAAACGGAGAGAGAGCTGGTTCTTTTGCTTTCCTTGTTTGATCATGCAGGTGAGGGGCGATTTCAGAGTTGTTTGCGCTTCCGGTAGCAAAAGAATGCATTATATACTTCCAAGTCAGGAATCTGTGTATATATGAGGGTGTGTCCCATTGCCCGTAACAGTCGATGAATGACTATGACTATCACTGATTGAGACAGGCCCTTTACTAACCATCATCCACCGTTACAGTGAATGGGATATGCCCAATTGTCAAATGATATTAGCATTTTGTGAGAAAGGCCTGGAATACCCAATTTGTAAAAACTTGGGACTGTCCCACACTTCGCCGGCGATGAGACACTCCTCGGCCGACCGTCTCCCAGGAATCCGACGACGACTCTGGACAGTCCGACTCCGGAGCGGCGGACAGTCCGACTCCGGCCATGCGTGATCGCAAGAGGCAGGGAGTCAATGTGGGTGTAAGAGCCTGGGTTGCTCCAGAACGTGTTTTTTGTGGTGGTTTTTTGGAGGGGCAGGATCGAAGGGAGGTCCCCTTTGTGCCGAGTTTGGTGGTGACCATGACAAGCTCAGAAAACCCAAACCACCCCAAGCAACTACATGTTCGGTGTGGACATCCATCGAAGTCCAGTTGACATTGATTTAACACTTAAAACGATCAACTGGGTTGACAACTACGATAGAAATCGAATTTGTTGACATTGACACCCAGATCCCCCAAAGAGATGATTGGTATATTAATCTCTTCACCCCAGTCGTTTATGTTGATGTTCTTATCCACTTACCACTTCGACCTTCTTCCGAAGTTGGTCACTGAGGAGCTGTCAGCCTCGCCCTGCATGAGCAAAGTGTTTTGAAGGATGGTTACTTGCTACCAGCCAATGAAGACAAGGAGGCTGACGAGGACATTAAGGATGTTCCTCGGTCCATCAATATGCTGGTCCGGGATATAGGAAGTCCAATTTGGCTACATAAGAGGTTCGAGGCCAGCTATGTTTGCGGCGATATGTTTTCCCAGAGATAGCGTGCTTGTTGTTTTGGTGAGGGCGGGATTGAGTCGTTTTAAATGTGTGTGGAAAAACATACTGACTGACCACTGCCAACTGTTGCAATATGAAGATTGCCTTCTTAAATTGATTTAAATTGTATAGACAACACTGATTATCAAAGCTAGCGCGCTAGCTGCCGCTAGCTGAGTTCTTCTCTTTCGCAGTCTTGGTCTTGGGATGAGGTATGTGCCTGAAAGCTTGATCTTTCACGCTAAGGCGGGGCCATGCCGGCCCCCCAACCCTAGTAAATCCCGCTGAGGAGGCGCTTTGCCTCCGCTGTTCGGCGGGTGAGTTTCTCCCCCAAAACGCAACTTCTTGACCTCCTGACAGATGATGCAGGTGTCATCCCTGACTGGTTACGTTATCCCATGAAGGAGTCTTGAAGCGAAGGTGTCTGAAAAGAGATCCTTTTGCTTGGTTAAGTTTGACACGTGTTTTTTCTTTTCCGGAAGCATGCTTACAGGTTGCCTTGGGCAGTGCCTTATAGATGTTCGCAGCATGTTCTGCTGCTGGTTTGCTGGTCAGCTACTGGCCTGCTGCTTCTGCTTCTGTTCTGCTGCTGGTGCTGCTGGTCAGCTACTAGTAATCCAATCCAGCTCCAACTGGGTCCTTTGTCATGTGAGACTGGGTCCTCAAACATGTCATGGTCATGCCACACCACCGTCCAATCCGCCGCCTTTTCCCCTTCTCAAGATTCGCTCTGTGCGCCTAAGAACACGCAGAGACTTGGATGCACTTTGGCAAGGATCTACAGAAACTTCTTGGCCACAGGATCATTGGGCAAGTTCTCCAAGATCCACCTGAGATAGTAAAGGGTTCGATGTGCATGTTTAAAGAATGCAACCTGTGCAGAGGTTTGACACTCACTCCCAACCCACCCACTCACTCACTCCCTCCCTCCCTCACTCACTCATCATACAACTAGACACAGGCCACCAATCAGCCCAGCCACTTGCGGCGACCATCGCAGGCCTTCAAGCGCCGCTCCTCACCCTGCAGGCCCTCAAGCGCAGCTTCCTTCCAATACTTGCAGTAAACCTGAGATGAATCGAAGCTGGATTGCGATTTCCAACTTCAAGATCATATATATGATTAATATGCAATGCTTTAATCATCATCATAATTATTGAACGGTTTGAAGGCAAGAGGCGGAGTGAAGCTTCTTTGAAGTCTCATCATTCCTGCGGCCTCCTGGCTTGCTGGCTGCTTTAGCCCGAGCCTTTGCCTTTGCTTTCGCCTTCCCTGCACTCTTTGGTGCCTGCTTTGCTTTGGGCGCTGCACGGGCTTTTGCCTTGCGACCTGCATTCTCGCGGTGCTTCTTGGCTGCTGCGCTAACCCTGGTCTCCTTCAGCTCCGCTTGCACCCTCTTGTTGACCACACGTTCGAGGAAGGAGCACCTGTCGAGGAGCCCTTGCATGACCTTGTCATCCTCCTCCCCCTTTGCTTCCAGCTCATTTGCCCTCTTGAACAGGTTCTGGAGCTCACGGAACGAGGGAGAGCTCGGAGGAGCTTTGGCTTCAGCTGGTGGATCACCGGTCTTGGCCTCAAGGCTATCCAGCAGGGCCTGATTCGATCCCTCCAGCTTGGCGAGATTCTCCTCAACCTCCAGGCAGTTCTCCACTGACTGCTTGATGCTGTTCACAAGCTCCACAGGGACAATGCAGCATGCATGCTCCTACGAAGAGGCAAAGAATCAGAGAGAATAATAAACATTGTCCCCATGCATGCAACTCAAAGCTACAGCTTCAACACAAGCAACAGAAAAAGTCATTGACCTCCACGGAACGCATAGGCTCTTCGGAACCCATAGCCATAGACTCATCAGGTTCATCGATCTGGGTTTCCACTTCATGATGGGCAGCCTCACAGAGCTAAATATAGAATGCAGATTTGTCAGCAGACCGTTTCACGATTTGCAACTTGCAACAATGTTTTGATGTCTTGTTTGCTGAGGAAGGATTTGCCTTTGATGGTGGAAGCACTGAAGCTGCATCGTCCTGAGTGAGATCAAAGGACATCAAGGACTTCAACTTGTTGAGTGCACAGTACACTGACCTGACTGGCAACTGGGTGTTGAGGTTTTTGCAAGTTAGGATGTTTCAATCTAATTTAGATAGGTTGCAAACAGCCCCAGTTGATTGTCAGGATCTTCAGGCTCTAGATGATGATCCATTCTTCGTAGTCGTAGAGAATCACCATCAGCCGGCCTTGGACAAGCAGCGCCGACCCCGCTCAGGCAAAGCTCAATGGGATGCCAACCACCTCAAGGCACAGTGACTTGCAAACCATG